ATTTTGTAGACCTCCTACTCTAAATTCGTTATGTACATTTTACTAGGAGCGGTGATGACCGCATTGTACATCATGATGGAGAACTCCCGGCATTATTCCGCATAAATACTCGGGTCCTAAGGTCGGATAGATACATAAATCAACTCGAGCTCGTGGGCCAAAAACGTTTAAATCTATCTAATATTTCTATCAGCTTACTATGATACGATACTGTACTTCTCACCATTAAAGTGAAGTTATGTTGTAAAGGTTTGCTTGCAAAATATTGCAGGAAAAATGTACACTGATCAGCTGTTGCAAAACAAATACCTGAAATTTTAAAACAAATTACGGTACCGTATAGCGTATGCAGAACATATTTTTTTTCTTATTTGCTAAAAGTGGGCTATATCAATCTCACTGTCCCGGCATAGCATGCTGAACCAGTACAGGAAACACAAAATAATGCTGCCCCTAACTTAACTTCACCTAATATCATACCTGATGGTGTAACCAAATATTGACAATGGTCCCACACCCTCTCCTGTGTAACACTCTACCTGAGACTGTATACACGCTTACGTTGTGCCACTAATTGTTCAAATATAATATAAATATGCCACTTATGGCGTTCACAGTGCAAGGAAAATCTACCACGTGATGGGTCTTTTTTCACTCCTATATCTATAAAATCCCTAACTTCCAGACTGCGAAAAGACTATACTTCGTTCCGGCTTAAGTCCAGACGCAGCCTTCGCAACGAGATGATTTGACCAATCAGACACCAACAGAGGCGCGTCGTCATGATGTTTGTCCTGTTTCTGTACGTATTTTATTATCATTGAGCCAATCATATAAAGAAGAGATCCAGTGACTTAGGATCTTGAAGCTCATTGAAGCTCTCTAGCTCGTAGCGTCGGCTGCGTCTGGACGTAATTTGAAACGAAGTTTAACGCTTTAAACACGCGACATTTTACAGCCGACATTGCTGATTTTTTCTTGTCCTACTGAGATGTTGAGTTAGTAAAACATACGTTAACGAGCCTCCACAAATGCAATTGCTGGGGAGAAGGACACAGTAGAATCTAATATGGCAATGAACACTTCAGCTGTTTTAATCATGGAGTGGAGCAAACGAAATAAAAGGAAAAAAAATCATAAGAAAATCATGAGCCATTGCGCTTTGTGAAAGTGGAGGACCAGCGAAGCTGTTTCGCACACGACACTAACGTGGCACAGAATTTTGAACAAAGGTACGAACACATTTATTGTCTTGATCGGTGGTCATCGTGACGGAAGGTGCGCACACAGATGTTGAGGACTATCGCTGCCCCGATGAGCCGGAGGAAACTAGGCACGCGCGATGGGAACGTCACCCGGCGGAAGGAAAGGAAACTAGGCACGCAAGCGCTTGGAACGACAATAGAGAGAGGGCGGTGCGAGCCCTCTCTGAGTTTTTGGTGATGCATGCGAAAAATCCACGGAACCCTAGCCATAAACAGCTCCACTATAAAACTGAAGGTTGGTTATGGCGGCACCTATGCACAGCTACATTAAAGCGGTAATAGTAGATATAATGAAAATAATCCATGGAGAAGAGCATTATTCTTGTCCAGCTCGCTTGTACCTTTGCATTTAATTGCATCATAAAAATAGTAGGGACGACACCGCTATTTAATTCGAAGTTTTATTCGCACCTCCCAATTCACACACCAAGGGGGAGCGGTGGCCCAGTGCTTTAATGTGCCTCAGCCGGTAGGCACGCGGAGCCAGAGAACGCGATGCACAAACATAGGATCCTGGGTTCAACCTCCATCCCTTGCCCGTTCGGATCTTGATTACCGTCATACCAGCGTGTGATCGAGTATCGCGACCGCATAATGCACGCTAATAAAGAAATAAAAAAGGCTAACAGTTCTATTGCACTGCCTACCATTTTTATCGTGAGCGGAAACATGAGACGCTCATTGGTGCTGGCTAACCTCCTCCAGCCTAAACATAGGCAGAACACAATTACTTTAGCGGCAGGAAACACAGCGGCGCGGCTGCAATGTTTAAAGGAGCTGTGCAACGATATTCAATTGGAATGTTTTTCTCTCTACACGAGCTTACTGGCACACCTGGGACTCAAGGATACTGACACGCAACGCCATTGGCCAAGAAACTCCTTTGTTGCGGTGTAATTTCAAGGACAAAAGCGATCATTTTCATTCAATCTCTCCCTTGCAAAATTTGATGACGTAACTCGGGGATCGCAGTACACCCAAGTGACGATATTTGAATGCGGTTCATAGATTGGACCCGAGCATAGCATGGGCACTCGACTTGGGCTCGTGATAATTGCTAGCTCGAGAAGCATTCGGGTTGTGACCCGTGTCCAATCGCTGCAACGACGACAACAGCCGAGCCATAACAATGTCTGGAACTCAGCGCGTGTCCTGCGCTTTGCCAACCCCAGCGCGTGGCTATGATCAAGACTGGCGGCATATAATCGGCTCCAGATCACGTGGCCGCTTGTTCTGGCTGCGAGTTGAGGGGGGGAACGCTGCTCGTTTTTCTTTAATTTTTTTCTGGGACTTCTATTGCGTGGGGTGAAAAACTAACGCGTGTTTCATAGGTCATTAACGTTAGGGATCCGTTTTAAGCGGTATTTCTGCAGAGTGCAAAAATTGTTGCACAGCTCCTTTAATCTCTTCTGTACGCACACGGCGAAGGAATGAGGGCGGGAACAGTAAAAATCGTTCGAGAGTTTAAGTGAAAAATGAAAAGAGAACGACGTTTACAATTTTCTGTAATGCCGAATTAGAGCGCAGCTCTTGAGGAGGAAGAGGGGAGGGTACGAAGGGGAGGGTACGGATGGGTAGGTTTTCCTCTCCTCCCCCTCTGTACCCTCCCCTCCTCCTCTTTTGCTCCCCTCCCATTTAGCAGGAAATTTTCACTAAATTTTCCCGCTAAATTTATCGGGGAACTTTTCGCTAAATTTAGCGGGAAACTTTTCCTGCAAGGTTTAGCGGAAAAATTTCCCCGCTAAATTTAGCTGAAAAATTTCCCGCTAAATTTAGCTGAAAAATTTCCCCGTTAAATTTAGTGAAAAAATGTTTACTCTTGTAACGTCATACGTGACGTCACATGTGACGGCATTATGGGAAATGTCCCATAATGTAACACGCGGTTGCGCCGACGCCGAAGCCGCTTAACCCGGAAACGGGCGCCTAGGAGCTGCGCTCTAAAATGTGGAAACCAAAGTGCGAGGGAGAGTCAAAAAGTAACCGTAATTAATTTTTATTTGCATAATAGTATATATATCATAAAAAGCATTTTGTTAGTTTTCAACATAGTAACCTCCTCGCTCGACACATGTGCGCCAACGCTTCACCAACAGACCCTTCCCGAAATTGTTTCCGGCAACTGTGAGACGCTAGTTTTGGCGGTCTTGTGAAGTACGACAGGCAACGCTGGTTTGGAGGAAGAGCGGGGGGAGCGGCCATTGATATGGCGTCCGTCGTAGTCGCTGGTTCTGGTGCTGCTGCTACCAGCCTCGTATGGACTACGAGTTTAAGTAAGATCTCGCAGGACTTCAAAGCCGACAAGGTTGACGAGTACTACGCCGCCCGGAAAACGAGCGACCGTAACCGGCGGCGTAGTTACAAGTTCGTAACGGAAAGTTACCTTGAGCCATCGTCGCTGGAAACGACATGTCTTAATGGGTGAGTTGACGATTCCACATTAGCGATCACTGGTCGTTAAGTAGTCTACGGTTATTCTCTTTTAACTCCCGCATATTGCGTACACAGGAATGCGACCGCCGTCGTGGTGCGCGGGCGGTGCTACCGAAGCCAAAGGAAGACCGACAAGCCGTACAGCGTGTCGATAACGATCGCTGCGGACGGCTCTATTTCGGAGTGCAGCTGCCAGTGCGCCGCAAAAGAAGGCCTTTGTAACCACGCCTTAGCCCTGCTGAGGCTAATCGTCCTCCTTAAGGGGTAAGGGTACACGGAAGCACCTCCCGAGGTGACCTGCACGGAGCTGCCTCAGTAGTGGCGTCGGCCCCGTGGTTCGCAAATCTGGGCTGCCAGCGTCGCGGAACTGGATTGGAGAAGTGCACGGGAAGGAGGACCTTCAAAAGCACAAGGGTCAAGGCTGTACGACGCCAGAAAACGACCAAGAGACCTGGCTGGCATGCAGCAGGCCATGCAGCGCCTGGGAAATGACCTCGGCAACCTCGGGGACTACCCTTTTGCCAAGCACCTGCGGACTGTGCAGGTACTGGGCACAGCTTCGATGTTTGGACAAGTCCCCGAGGGCAGCCCCATCTGTTACCAGCAACCACTCACGCCACACGGGTTTGTGGTGCATGTGAGCCCAAACATTGCTCCCTGCGGCAGAGATGCCTCAAGCACTGCACTGCCCAGCTGGCCAGTTCTTTTCCCCCTGTCGGACACTTTCGGGCCTGGTGCACGGAGCCTCAGTGATGCCGAAAGGTCACTTTTTAAGGTATTGTTCCAGCTTCCTTTATCGTCACATTTCATATTCAGTGACCAAAGAGTATGATACAGTTCATGCCTTGGTGGGTACTAAAATGAATTAGTATATATGAAATAGAGATATTTCACAATCTAATGGTAAAATTTGCATCAGTGACTACCTTCAATGAGACCATTAACAATAACTGAAAGTAAGGGTCATGGTAGTTTTCTTGACCATTCCACTTTTCACCAGACAGTCCCTGCACATTCATAACCGCAAGTTACTGTGTATCTTTTTGTTTCTATCGATTTTATTTTTGTTTTTGTTTTTTAGTGTCAAACAGAAATCCCGCAAATTTCTTCCAAAACCTCGGGTTGTATCCGTAATCTCAAAACACAGTGTCACAAAAAAAGAAATGGCAGAGCACAAGCTGGCATAGGAAGTCTGCGAAAAGATGGTAGCGCCGCCACGTCTTGGCAGAGCTATCTAACAGGATGGCTGGCTGCAAGAGCGGGTAGTGAGCCCATTGCGTGCTGGGTGAGCGGAACCCCGAAATGTCGAAAAACAAGGTTTTTCTTCGTGAACTGGGCACATTATTACAAAAATTTTCCGCCCAGAATGAATATTTATAGTTTTTCGTCACACAAAATACTTCAAAGACAGGCAGTACTGCAGAAATCGGGAACAACTGAACCGTGTGTCAGTACTCGTCGGCTCAGTTGCTAGTACTAAAGCCTCTGGATTCCTGTCCAGCACGCGATGAGTAACCGATGAAGCTGCTTCATGCCAAACAAAGAAAAGCCATGTGGCATGCACCAGTGGAGGACCACCTTTTTTGTAAGGGCACCAGGTCACCTCGGTTCCAACCTGCTGACCAGGGACTGCTTGTCTATCGTCTTGCCTCGGGGCCACGGAGGTAGCAGTCGAAAAGGCAGGGACTGCTTGTAGTCAGCCCTGGGAAAAGTAACCCAGCACAAGCCTCGTGGAGTAGGCTGCATCTATACCAGAGGGACGTTTATCGAGGCACCCTATCGAGGAGCAGTTTGGACGCCGCCTCCGATCTCTTTTGTAGTTACTGCAGCAACACATCGACACAAACCATTTTGCACTAGCGGTGAGATTTGAAAACACAGAGCCACTAATTCGCACGCAGGCAAAAAACGTGCAAACTCAAGAAGCTACCTCATCTATATGCCCAGTTTGTCATACATTACTGCTGCAACAGCGAAAGCAACCAATTAAAATAGGAATGAAAACTATTTACGTTCAGTTTTGTAATCACAAGCATCCATGAATTTGTCGCGTAGTAACCGTTGAGCTGTCGGATACACAACCGATTTGTAGAAGCATGTTTCGGCGAACCACTTTGCATCAGACTCAGCGAAAACACACAGAGATAAGCGGAGAAGCACGCAGGGAGTCGTGGACAAGCAATTACTTACGTTATGTTTGTAATCAAGCATCTACTCACTCCTGAATATATAGTAGTTGTCGAGCTGTCGTCGGACGCGCAACCAATTCGTAAAAGCACGTTCTGGTAAACCAGTGTGCCGAAACTCATCACACAAAAACGCAAACAGATAAACAAAGGAACACGACGGAGTGATGGGGGCTCCAACTCAATCCACGAGATGCAGCGCTGAACGCAGATAGGTTTTCGAATGCCAAGGAGATGCTCTGACGCACACTGAGGACCTTGAGTGGGAAGACTTGTGCTGCGAGTCGTGGATGGAGCATGTGCGTACAACAAGGTGGGAATGGGAGTAACTCGGTGCTCATCCACTCCGCTGGTTTGGCTCCCACAGCGCAACGCCGATGCAACCATTGGCAGCGGAGCAGCGCGCCCTCTTTAGGTGCCACACGCTTCCTATAAATATCTTTTAATCCACCTTACTACAAATCTTCAATACATCTAATAAACAAACAAAAAAAACTCTCCTTGCTTAACTGATCTCCGAATTTCTGCTTGGGTCTAACCCTCTCATAGAAATCAAGGAACACCTGCTGTCTTAGCCTCAATACAGAGACTCCTGACTACATTCAGCTTTCAGTTGCCCATTATCTTGTCTTTGTCTGCTTAGGAGCTGGTTCTCACTCCGGACCAAGCACGCCAGCTTGAGAAGGACAGCCGGCAGCAGTCGAAGAGCGCTACATGGAAGGCTGCTCGCACCAACAGACTCACAGCGTCCTCCTTCGGAGCTGTCCTGATTAGAGTATCGTGGACTGATGTCGGGCTTCGGAACCTCACTGAAGAGAAGGACTTGTCTCGAGTCGCACCAGTCAAGTGAGTTCTTAACTTTTCTATGCAGTGTAACTCTTTTAGAAGGTACATTACCCAGTTATTTTGGCCTTCCTCAGAGGAGAGTAGCTTGGCTATGCACGCATGCAAAAATTCTCGCATTGAATCAAAGCTTTTATTTGGTCCGTTCAGTAGAAGCTTCCTCGATTCCAAAGGAGCGTCTACTGAGCGGTCCAAACGGCAAACGGAGCTCTCAAACGGTGACTCTAGATATCAATGTTGATGTTCGAAGCTATTAAGTTGTACCAGGGCCTGTAAAAACACTGCAACCAGCGGAGTGCAAAACCTACCAACTTGTCAATCAACAGAGCGGAGATTAACACTACCGGTCCTATAGACCAATTCATGTTTACAAACAAACCAAAGCGCCCCTAGCGGACGCCACCGGTGCCGCACATGCACAATGGAGTGTGAGCAAGAAGCATGCCGTCGCCCATAAACAAACCATTTGGTATACAAGGTTTTCGGCGTCGGTGTTAGTCCCCATGCTCTTTCTCGAGCGTTGGACTTGTTGATTCTGCGTCTTCCTGGCAATGTCTGACTACTTGAGCGGCCTCAGCAAAATTACCCAAGGCTCGTTACACTGCAAAACTTTGCGTGAATAATGTGGCATGCGGCGATTCATATTGTGTGGGCGCCGCAGAATGGACGCTAAACCTTAATTCGGATGATGAGATTCTGCTCGCTATTTTCAGTCGCGAAATCACTCGGGCTGCAATATCGTGAACCGTAGCTGGGATGGTCGACGTCAATACTGAAAATCGCAAGCAGAATCGGACCAAGTGAATCAGGCATAACGAGTCGGTGATGGCCACGGGTAACAATGATAAATATCTCATTGTATCTATTGTTTACACCGAGCTTACTTACCCCAACGTACCTTCAAACCTAAAAGTCTTTTGAGGCCTGCACTTACTTCTGATCTGAATTACCGGGTCAATGTTCCGTCCACAAGATGCTGTCGTTTGAACGAGCAGACGACAAGCAGAAAAGTTAGAAAGAGTAGACGACAGTTCAAACGGTCAGGCGGTCGTTTGAACTTGAAGACGCACTGAACGTGGTCCGCAGGTGGTTCATACAACTTGGTGGTTTTCCATCCTTCATGTTGGAACAAAACAAATAACTCTAACAACTGTGAGTATCTGTGAATTCAACCCAAAGTGCTTCCCGCACAAGCAATCGTGCTCTGACGGCATCTGGTTTTCCTTCTTTGCGGCACCTATCCCCTTCTCGGACGAACTGAGCAGGCACAAAGCACATGAAAACTGACCTTCAAAACTTCCTTGACTCTTTTGGTACAGCCATGCCGTTCTGAGGAGAAGGCGGTTTTTTTTTATGGTTTCTTCCAAAAGAACACAGGAATGCACGTCCCGCATAGTAATTTCTGCGCACAGCTCCTGACCGGAAGTGCTCCTGACGCGCCACCACTGCACCGTTACATAACGGAGCCGAGTTTGTGTATAGCTTTATACACCAGAGTCGGTTTGCTCGAAGCGCGGTTAGTGCTAACCGCAGCTAAAATTTAGTCAGAGTACCTAGGTGGGGGAATTTTAAGATCACTTGGCTTACCAGGTAGGGACTCAGAGAAAAATATACCTACAGACACTCAGTTTGACAAAATGGCTGCAGTTCTTGGTCCTGAAGCGATATATAATAGACGATTTGCTATTTTCCCAAGCGCCCCGGCCCGCGCGCGAGGAATTGTGGGAGAGATTGTCCCTCGCCTGGCCGCTCTGCCTTGAGATCACATTGCCTTGTCGCTTGCCTCCTCTTAATCCTCTGTTTTTTTATTCCATTACCTATTTTTATCTGTTCAAGTGTATTGTTTATTGCTTCTAAGTGTTTCTATTCTCTTCTGCACGCGATATTTTTTGTATATATAATATTTGTGTCTTCATTTTTCCTTTTTCAACGGAAGTGCCGACAGACAACACACCGCTTCGCGCGTCTTTCCTTGGGTGAGTATTACCATTGCTACCGATTAACATTCTGCTGTTAGCTGTTCATTTCGACCCGCGTGCAGTCTAGAAGAGCCGTTTATGAACACCCGCGCACATGTCATAGGGGTAGGTAGAGCTCTGAATCAAGAATCGCAACGCGAGAGCCCGGTGCGCTCTAATTTGGCCGGCCCGCACTCGCTCCGTCGACTCGCACTGTAGCGCGTGCCTTCGAGTGCCGCTTACTTGACCAATATACAGCACGCCGCTTTGTCACCGCGAATCATTTGTCCGAATGCCTGCAAAACCGTGACACCGTTCGGCATATCCAACGCTGCAGCGGCTGACAACTGCACGCAGCGGCGGGCAGTTGTCAGCACTTGAAAAAGGCTGTTTGCAACTGACAACCGCTTAGCAGATAGATTAAGAAGGCATACCATAAGCGCTTACAAGTTGCGACGTTGAACCAGTGGCGGGTGTGAAGGGCTCGCGCCGTAGCGTGCAGTTGTCAGGCGCCGCAGCGTTGCATATGTGTCAGCTTTGCAAACATTCGGACAAATGGTTTGTGGCGACAAAGCGGCGTGCTGTATGTTGGTAAAGTAAGCGGCACTCGAAGGCATAGACTACAGTGCGAGTCAACGGAGCGAGCGCGGGCGGCCAAATCGCAGCGCACTCGGCTCTCGCGTCGCGATTGTTGGTTCAGAGTTCTGCCTACCCCTATGACATGTGCGCGGGCATTCATAAACGGCTCGTCTCGACTGCACGCGGGTCAAATTGAACCAAAAATTAACAGCTAACAGCGCGACAGGAATCGGTAGCAACAGTATACATACTCACCCGGGGAACGACGCGCGAAGCGGCGTGTTGTCCTGTCGGCACTCCCGTCGAAAAGGGCGAAATAAAGACACAAACACTATATATATACAAGAAATATTGTGCGCAGAAGAGAATACAAACCCTTAGAAGCAATAAAAAATACACTGGAATAGATAAAAAAAATAGGTAATGGAATCGAAACACAGAGGATTAAGAGGTGGCAATGCAATCTCAAGGCAGAGCGTCCAGGCGAGGGACAGTTTGTCCCACAATTCCTCGCGCGCGGGCTGGGGCGCTTGGGGGATTTCGCAAAAGGTCTATTCAGTGCACATTGTTTATTTGCAATGTCAATTCATGTTGTCATGGCAAGCGAAATGACCTGAAGAAAGACGACAGAAGCTGATGGCAGCTTGCCGGCTCTCCTTCGTAATCACTGTCTAGGTTTAAGTGACCCTGTGAAGGCTATCTTCAGCTCTTTAGGCCATCAGGGTAGGCACAAAAAGACATTGTAAAACCTTTGTCACGCTTTAATGATTCACAATAAGGCTATGAAGCATCATGCTCAACACTTCAGAAATATAAGTCACGTCCCAATAAAAATTGGCCTTGTCATAGCCTCCCCCACTCCTTACGCATCTGCGACGCGGCAAATGCTTAAGCCTAACCGCAATGCGTCGACGAGAAAAGCGCTCTCCCACAAGTTCAATTAATCTGATACACCACTACAGTAAATCGTTTCCGAACTTGTTCATCTCGATTAAATGAGTTGCAGAGCACATGCCCTCACTCGTCACGACCACAGTCTGCACGAAAATACAGTCTGTTTGATGTCCGGTTGCCTTTGGCGTCTCATATGACATTTGGCATTTCATATAGCGTTCGGCATTTGTGCATGTGTCACACTTTCATATCCTAATAGCTGAGAGGTCAACCTGCGAGCTGGTAGGATCACTTGGGAGTTCGGAATGTAGCCATCAAAGAGAGGATTAGCAGATGAGCATAAAATGAAACATAAAGAGCTGTTGAATATTTGTCCCCAAAACAGTCGGAACCCAGACCTGTGATGTTTTGTCCTGCCATCTTCTGTAACAATGCTGGTCGTGCCCTTTGCCTATAATCTTTTTAAAATTTTTTTCAGTAGAGCAGGTATTGTTCATTTTTTATTCTCTCTCTTGGGAGTGAGGATTCCTGATAACAGCATTTTTGCTGTTCTTGTTTATTTCAGGCATGGTATCACCCAGGAGCCCCATGCCGTGAGGCACTACGAAAAGACTCTGCGGTCTCGTGGTCACCAGATCCAGACCACCTGCTGTGGCCTCATGGTGAACCCCTCTTCGCCATGGTTGGGAGCGTCCCCAGACAGGCGCGTTTTTGATCCAGCCGAGACACCCCCTCACGGGGTCAAGGTCGAGGTCAAGTGCCCCTACACTATGTGGAACTGTGACACTCCTGACTCCAAAGGCTTTTTTGTAGTAAAGGATGCCGCAGGCGTATACAGACTAAAGCGTGACCATAGCCGTTACTACCAGCTATTGGGACAGATGGCCCTTTCTGGCGTCACCTGGGGAGATTTTGTGGTATATTGTAAGAACTTCTTGATCATAGAACGGATTCGATTTTGCCCTTGTAGCTGGATTAAGTGCAAGGAGGTGCTCGACAAGTTCTATTTTGAGACTCTACTACCCTATCATGTGGGTAGGCCAGACCAGTGAGAACTTCGACCTGCTCAAGAGGGTGCTAGTTAGGTTACAAGAATAATTGACAGAAAGCAAAAAAAGTATGAATGCAGAATAGGCTATGTTTGCAACCAACAGAAGAAGCATTTATTAACAAAACTGGACAGTTGGAGAGCCTTAGCCCATCGCATAACTGTCCGTGCAACCGTCGGGGCTTGTCGGCGATTGTTTACACTGCCACTTGGGTACACGCCTCAACCTGCTTTGGTAATTTTCAGTACTTTCTTAGTGTATTTCCTAGAACACTCTGTGTACTGTTGTCGAGACCATGAGGTTTCATTCATTTCGCATTGGTTTAAACTACAAAAATATCGGACAGTAACTAAAAAAAAAACTAATACAGGATAAGAGATGGTTCCAACTTGCAACATGGGCATTTATTGACAAACTATGACAGTTGCAGAGCCTTTCCTTATTATGTAACTGTCCAATCAACCGTTGGGGCTTCTCGGTGAATGTTTCCACTGCCAGTTGAAAACGCGCCTCGACCTGCCTTGGGTCATTTTTGCTACCTTTCTTAGTGTTTTTTCAAGAACATTGTTTGTTTGTTGTCGAGACTATGAGCGCTCATTCATTTCACATTGATTTAGCCAACAAAAATATCGGCCAGTAACTAAAAAAAAATTAATACAGAATAAGTGTTCCAACTTGCAACATGGGTACTTATTGACAAACTACGGCAGTTGCAGAGCCTTTCCCCATTGCGTTACTGTCCGTGCAACCGTTGGGGCTTGTTGGCGAATGTTTGCACTGCCAGTTGGGTACACGCCTCGACCTGCCTTGGTCATTTTCCTTCCTTAGTTTATTTTCGAGAACACTGTTAGCACTGTTGTCGAGACCATGAGCCTTCATATTGTTTGCTTTGATCTTGTTTGATTTAGGGAACTGTTAGCAGTGTATAACGTAATGTGCACCAGCCCAGCTGTGTAAATTCTGTGAATTATTAGCAGTGTAGCCTTTGTAAATAAAGTGCTATAGGGAGGTACAAGTCTACCTCATTTGTTTTTTGTTTAGTTGCAACTTGAAACGGCAGAGGAATAAAGCATGAAAGCAGGCTGTTTCAGTGCATACCTTGCATTCAAATACTGTCTCTTTTTTCATGACAAAAGACTATTCACAAAGTGGCAAAGAATTTACTTCACACTGACATTTACTTACTGAGGGTAGACATATCACTGTAGAAAGAGGAGCTTTTTCTAAAAGAGCCAAATGCTTTAGTCATTAGAGGCTCTCATCAGAGGACTTTGGAAGTTGGTGAGAGCCACGCAAATCGCCCACATTTCGCTGACAACTGGAGCAAGTGAAATCTGAACCGGCCAGTCAAATATGTGGAAATTCTTAATCCTTTGAATTCGTGGTTCCACGTGTATGCGAAGAGAAGCTATCTGTTCTGTCTCCTTTACCTCTTCCGTCGTAAAGTGACCTTTACGAAGGAAAGGGGGTATATTCAGTTGAACATTGATGTTTTTCAGCATCTCCTCTATCCTAAAACCCTTATCAGCCATCACTGAGTCGCCGTCATCAAAGGGCAGCTCGAGGAAACCACTTTTTTCTACACATTCCTTGTCTGACATTGAACCGGTGAACAGCTCAGATATGAATGTTACTGTCCCATCGGAAGAAATGCCGATCAACCCCTTAAACGTGTTTGTAGATTTATATGGAGAAAAAGTAGACGATTGCAGCACGAGTGAGCTGGAGGCTTCACATTTTACCTCATTTGCATCTGAGATGACCCTTGTCGTTGGGAAGCGTTCTTTAAATTCAGGTGGCATCGCGTCATCCGCAGCCTCCCTTGGCAGCCACAGGTGCAGCTGACCGAAGTGTACATACACATAGCTTATCCACGTTATACACACCTTTGACACTGTGGCCTTAGGAACTCGAAAGCGGTAAGCAAGATCTCTTTCAAAAAGTCCAAGCCGGAGGCGGACGAGTAGCAAAAAGAACTGCTCAGCGGGAAACAAAATCGAGCGCCTTCCGGCTTTTCTGGCTTTGTCACTGTACGAGGTGGACCAAAATTTACATTCTCGCCGTCCTCATCTGGGTCTAAGAAGCTTAAAAGACGCATGAAATGATCATGGCTTGGAAGGCCGGTGTAGAGGAGTACATCTGCTGGGCTGTCCTTAAAACAATCGATGCAAAATCTGCGACTTGATTTTGCCTCTAGTGTTTTACACTGTTGTAGCAAAAGCTCAAGCTCCCTTTGGCACTTAAACAGGGCATGCTTAGTTTCTTTAAGTTCTGCTTCATGTTTCTCTAAAGAGCTACACTTGGGCATGATGCAGGGTGTCTTCAGTTTGTGTTAACTGGTCTTTGCACCTGTTCAGTTGAATCTGCAAGTTTTTTATAACCTCTGCTTGGGATGCAGTCTGTATCTTCAGGCGTCGTAACTCAGTGATGGGCACCAACTCAACTATGGTGTAGTCCGTAGGGAGGTTGGTGGCAAAAGTTTCAGTCACGTCTATATCGGTGGCGTTGTCGGCCATCGAGGAGTCGCAGGCTGCAACTGAGGCGGCGGTCGTGTTAGTGATGATTTCAGTGCCGTGTTCATTAGCGGCTGTTCGATGTCGCAGGTCCCATCAATGTCAGCGGCAGCGTTCACTGTGTCGGCGATCACGTCCCTTGTCCTCGTCGGAAGCACTCTCCTCAACGGAGACCGCGTAGTCGGTTTCGTTTTCGTCAGTGTCGACGGCAGCGTTCATTGTGTCGACCATCGCCTCCCTTCTGTTTTCGTCGGCAGAACTGTCCTCAACTGCGACATCATAACTGGTTTGGTATCCCTCAACGTCGACACTTTCGTTAAGGGTCGTAGCACTCGTTGAAGCTTCGCTGGCGACGCGGTTCGCGCTGGTGTACTCTGTTTCATCTTTTTCCGCTGTAGGAATCTTGCGTGTAGGTGGCATCCTTTGAAGGGGCGCCTTCCTCGGGGGTCTTTTCGCTACGTTAAATGCAAACACGCTTGGCACAATATCTTGTTTCAAGTAGCGATGACCACAAGCGATATTTGACAAATAGTCTTGTTCTTGAAAATGTCTTGAACACACCTTTGTGAACTTTCAAATCAAATCAAATCAAATCAAATCAAAGTTTATTTAACATCACCAAGTGAAAAGTACTAAACAAGTGATGCAAGGAGCTCTGACAAAAAGCCGCAAGGGTGCGGCTTGACTGGGTCTGAGCCCCCTCTGCATATGCATAGTCCCATTGCAGTGTAAAAAATAAGCAAAAAAGATTCGGCAACAGCACTGGTAATAATACACAAAAACAAACAAGTAACGCAACATCAGCATCACTTACTAAACATTAAAAAATCAATGCACACGAAGAGATACAAGGTGAAACAATAGATCTAGATATATGAACTGCATGGAACATGAAACACTTATTTTTCATTTCTAATTATCAAGTGAATTTAATAAAAACGGTAATGTGTAACATAAAGATTGATTTCCGTAATTCGTACGTGCATGAGAAATGATCCATGCTTCATTGTGACGTGTGTTAGAAATGTTAGTGTTACTTGTTAATCTAGATAATTGTTCTATGATGTTGTTATTTAATTTTTTGCCGGCATAGTACCTCTTGAGCAGTATATCATTATATAAAAAGTTAACTGGACGTACCTTAAGACTTTTAAAAAGTGGTTCGGTATGCGCATCGTAGGGAGAGCCAGTGATAACGCGCACGGCTTTTTTCTGTAGTAAAAAGAGTTTAGTAAGGTTTGACGTGGTTGTAATCCCCCAAACTAGGTGGCAGTAGTTGATGTGAGAAAGAAACAGGGAATTGTAAATAAGCAATTTTATATTAGTGGGTAGAAAAAACCGCAACTTTGTAAGAATACCTACGACGCGAGAGAGTTTATTAGCAATTATTTCAATATGTTTGTTCCAAACTAAGTGTTCTTCAAATACAACTCCTAGGCTTTTAACTGAGGGCACAACATCCACAGTTGAAGTCCCTATCATGAGGGGGTTCTCAATATTTGCTTTCTGATTTTTAGGTCTGAAAAGTACAGCTTTTGTTTTGGACTTGTTAATAGCTAGTGAATTCAACAGGGTCCATTGGTTTAATTTATCGAGAACATTATTTGCATGATTTATTAATTTTTTAATATCGGAAGAATTAAAAAATAAACTGGTGTCGTCGGCATACATAACAAATTGGGTATCATTATCAATATTTATTACGTCATTAATATATATATTGAATAACAAGGGCCCAAGAATGCTACCCTGGGGTACCCCGGATTGAATCGCTTTGATATCGGACATCTTGTTGTTTATAACAACTTTCTGGAAACAAAACTGAAGATAACTTTTCAACAAATCTAGAAATACCCCTCGGAAGCCATAGATATCGAGTTTTTTTAGTAAGGTAACGTGGTTTATTCGGTCAAAGGCCTTTGAGTAATCTACAAAAATCCCTTGTGTTAGCAGTTTGTGTTCAATAGCATGGAGAATCAATTCTTTTTGTGTCAGGAGTGCTGACTCGGTTGAACGACCCTTTCTGAAGCCAAAGTGAAAGTCTGTGATTATCCTATGTTTTTCACAGAAAGCAGTCATTCTATCATTAATTATTTTTTCTAGACCTTTTGAAAAAACGGGAAGAATTGATATTGGTCTGTAATTTGATAATTCGTTTTTGTCACCCCCTTTATACAAAACGCTCACCTTCGCTAACTGCATACGCTTTGGAAATACGCCGTGTATAAATGACAGGTTATAAATATGTTCAAGTGCAGGACAAATTAGATCTAAGACGTACTTAACTGGACGAATTTGCAAGTCATCGGCGTCACAACAGTTACTGTTACGGAATGAAAGAAACACGTGATAAATTTCTTCAGCATTAGTCGGTCCTAAAAACGCACTTTCACGGTTTCTAGCTTTTAGGTATTCTAAACTACGCGGATCATATGTACTGTTAGCCAGCGATACAAAAAAGTCATTAAAAGAGTTAGCTAGCGCCGTTCC